CTATACAGACTATTTCTATTTTCCTAGAATAGATAATTTTCTTTTCAACTTGACTACGGAATTTATACAGTCGTTTCTCAAATATACAACTTATTCTTTTGTAAGCTTCCCAGGCGGCCGGACTGTCACTAACTACTGCTTTTTTCCACAGTGAATTCTTTTTGCGACTCAGTCTTTCCAAATGTTGAGGTAGATGCTCATGATTAGCTTGATGGGTAACGACTGGAACAAATAAATCAATGGAATGATGAAGAATGTGCAAAAACAACTCATATTTGTCATTCACCGTTTCCACGTTGCTCAAGGATCCGTACCAATCAACATTACTAAGATAAGTCAAGATATCATTGAAATTCGCCTTTTTGAAATCCCTCCGGAGTGATAATTTCACAACCTCTTCAATCTTGAGATCAAGTTTGAATAAAACGGAGGCGTGATCACTACTTCCAATTGGTGCCCGTATGACAACGTCTTTCACAACCTCCTTATTGTTCGTTAACACCAAATCAAGTATATTTGAGCCATGAGTGCCTTCAGAGACAACTTGGTATAGTTTAAGACAATCACACATTTCCAAGAAGCGACGTGCAAGTGACCCAGGGGGGTTTGGATAGGACACATCAGTCCACGGAATATCAGGGAGGTTAAAATCACCGAGTACAAGAAACGTATTGATACCGGCTACCAAATCTCCAATTGCTTTTAACAACTGCTCAAATGCAGCTGTTGAGCATGAAGGAGATCTGTAAGCAAGCACAAACCTAACCTTGCAAAGAGCCATATCCAAGTCAACAGATATAAGTTCATATGCTTCGTCAACAGACTCACTGTAAACTACTTGCGGGCTATACATTCTTTTTGTGATAATCGCAACACCACCTCCGCGTCTGGTTTGTCTGTCACACCTTAGGACCTCATACTGATAGCAAAACTCTCCAAACAACGACTCGCTGCTAACCGACTAGTTAGATAGCCAAGTTTCCGTGAGCGCTACTATACCGTAGTTGCTATACCGCATCAAACAAAGGAGATGATTTAGGTTTCTCGAAACAGAACGAATATTAGTTAAGCAACACTTTAGTCCAGTATTTAACATCCGGGGAATGCCTACACATTTGACACTAACGACGAACGAATCGAATTAGATGAAACATTCATCACCTCAGAATCACGATTGGCCTGAGACGCATCATCAATATTCGCTTCAGATACCACATTAACATTGCCTACATGACCATCATCAACATCGGCACGCTTATTGTGGAGGGCAGCCCTTTCAGCACGTCTCCGTTCACGTTCCCCTTTGGGGAGGGATGGCCTTATGAAGACCCCCCGTTTGAGCGGAAAGTACCTAAGTTGCGATGCCTTCCTCAACACCGACGTGGCGAAAAAAGAACTCGGCAAAAACTTTCATGAGCCTATCAAAAGTTGGGCTAGCTCGACCCATACGATAACACGCAACCGGCAAACAATCAACTGACAGGAAATCCAGCAACTGCTGAACACAACACCTATCATGAGCAACTCTGTCATAACTTCTTTGACTGCGACTCTCTGGGACTCCAATTACAATCATATTGATCTCCTACGTTCAACTTCTTCATAAGATACAACTTGATCAGAATAT